GTTGCTTTCCGTCTTCCGCGCTGCAACTTGGGTCTCATTCCTGCAGGAGATGGAGGATGGTGGTGGCCGTGGCTCTTCACGGCTGCGTAAGCTCATTATTGCAGGGCTTCCTTTAGGGACGAACAATATCTGAGCGTGACGTTCCCGACGATCTGTTTTGGACTGCATCTTGTTTCCACGATATATAAGTTTACATACGCATCGCATCGCATCTCGCCGCGCCACGACAGCGACGGTCAGACCATACGAGCCTATCGACGAGGCAGCGTATCGACGAGGCAGCAGCGCCAAGTTGGCGGCGATGATGTTACGCTTCACATGGGATGATACGGCCCTCTTTCTTCACCAACACAAGTTGCCGGCGGCCAGTTACGCTGAACCGTGGCTGCGTGGACACGAGGCGTCCGGCCGGCTGGGAATCCGGCGGCCACCCGCGCGCCAGTGGATGCCACGCGCAGAAGCCATAAGTGGTCGATCCGGGTGTGATTGATCATTGCCCGGCCGGTTCAGGAAATATCTCAACAGGGAGAGGCCGTAGATAGTGGTGGTCCTTTGGGGAATGTCAGATCGGAGCGCCTGGTCTTCCTGCTGGTCTCGGAATCGGAAGAAGCAAGGACATGGATTTGCCACGAACTCCACTCTTTCGCCTTACCCTCCCTTCCTTGTGGACCGAGACAAATACCATCACCTCTTAGCTTTCCATGAAGCCATAACTCTTTATGCGCGTTTAATCCTGCCGCAACCGCAAGCAGGTGGACATAACAATGTAATCTTGCAGCTTTCTTTTTCGTGTTTCCATCATGTGAATTAATCCCCACAAAAGAAATACTCCCTCTGTCTCATAATATAAGATGCTTTGTGTCTTATATTTACCTGCAAAAAAGACGTCTTATATTCTGGGACAGATGGAGTGTCGTCTGAATTGAAGAGACCCTCGGAAAGAAATTTTCTGCTTTGTGTATGCTTTTCTTGCAAATGAGCTTCTTGACAGGTCGCCTCTTGTTGATCTGCAGAAAGAAGCGCTCGGCATCACAAAACTTCTTCAAAGTTCCAAAATGGTGAAGATAAATCGGAAGGCAAATATGATTACGCATGAGTTAGCTAAGTTTAGTCTTGATAATGGTGGTTCTGATGGGATTCTGGTTAGTAATGTTCCGCCTTGCTGGCGTATTGCTGTAACAAATAATTGTAGCAACATTTTAATTTAATCAATATATGAGGTGGTGTTTTGCAAAACAAGGAGAAAGAAAATCTGCTTCTGCCTGCCGTAAGAATCTGGGGATCGAAATCCCGACAACCCACAGCCGACATCCTGGCCCACCGCGGGCTTGTAACGATAGGCGGCCAGTGTTTGCAAATTGCAAAGACAGAAGATCCAACCAAACCGGCCTACACCAGAATAGGCCAGAGAGGGTAAGGGAAGCTTTTGCGCCCATTTCTAGTACGTACTATTACAAGCATAGGCATACACGGGCCATAACATTGACCTCCATCTCCTTCCAGATGTGTAGGAAGCCGATAAGACCATAAGAGCAACTAGATCAACCGAGAAAGCACATCAAGCAAGCGGCACTCCACTCGAAACGCTCATCTGACCAGGCGCGGGTCTGCATGCACAACTTGCAGCACATGTACCGATGCCGCAATCCGTAGATATACCCAGCACCAGCAGAGCAGCTTCCTACTTTAGCCCTCTGTCTTGTTTTCCCCTCTAAAACACACTCGTCTTCAACTTCAAACCCTGATGAACTCAACGAGTACAAGGCAGATGTGTCCGCCGCGGCAAGAAATGACGAGCCACAGGCGCCGGAACAAGACACAGAGGCCAGCCTTAGATTGAGAGGCTTAAGACGGAAGATGGCTGAGAAAGAATAAAGAGGATATCTAACAAATCTACTACTTGTATGATTTAAAATTTAAAAACAATCACCCAAGGGAGGCATAGGCGACCCCGTACGTACCTCTCTTTGCCCCTGGCAGCTATAGTCGAATAAAATCCACCCTGTATCGAAAAAGCTATAGTCTCCAAGTAGCTTAACTCTTCAACTGCGGTGCTAGTTGTTTCTGGAAGGATTCCCCCAGTACATGCCCAGATTCTGCGTGATCGGTTCAACTCTCAAGGCATTGGCAGCCTACGAAACCATCAAGAGAAAACAAAATTGCTGGCACTGCCCTAGAGGCAACGAAAAAAATAGCTAGGCAGTGGCAGTGGTAGATGATGCATGTGTGCTACTGTAGTATATTACCAGTATTGCGACCAAATAATCTTAGTCGTTGTCTCGCTGCTTGATCAGTTACTTGTGTGCCATGTCCGAATTCTCACAGCATAGTAAACAGATTTGCCATGCCAGAGGCCCAGAGCCCCTACCTATCTTCACGTAGTACTCATAGACGGTGTGATCAACTGATGATTGCCTACAGCTTTTCTCTACGAGAGCACAGAACCAGAAGGCAGCAGAATCCAACTTTTCAGCAGCCACCAATGGAAGAACGCAGCAATCAAGCAATATCCATATTTTTCACAAAATCCAAAACCTCACAGGATTAATATTTTTCCTTTTCTGGAAGTTTTTCCCTCCATATTGATGTCTGTTTCATGTAATTCCAAGCTGGAAGTATCTCTGTCAAATGTCCATGTCTGTACTTGGGTAGCCCATGTGATGTCTATCATTCTCCGCCGAGTTCGATGCACTATTCAGGTTCCTGGACCAATGGGATATGCCCACGTGAAGGGCGGCACTGCTTTATTCGTTGGTCAAGGATCAAGACCGTGTAGCCACAAAACAAACCAAAAGGCAATCCACATATTCTATCAACTTTAAGGTTCACCATCTTATATCTAAACTCTTTGCCATTCTTTGTTTGGACTCACGCAATTGAAATTCAGGCCTGAGAAATAGCACCATGCACAATTGAAGTTTATTACCTTTGAACTCAAGTGCGGTGGTACTTCTCTAAATGTAATAAAACTTCTCTTTCTAGCTTTTGGAAATTGCTTACGATTTTTTATTCATAAACGGTTCAAACTTGCGAAGCTGAAAACCTACAGAATGCAGCAGTATCAGGAGAATGAAGTCCACATAAACTTTACTGTAAAGTACAGGAATAAAATTAGATTCTATGGTCCCCTACTAGTCAAGATTAATGTAGACCTTATCTAACACACCTTTGCCTCATCTTTTATCTGAAGTCCGTATAAGTTGACATATACAGTTCTATTTATTAAGACAAAAGACCAGCAACTGAAGAAGAATCTTTTGCAAATGATATTCCATCACACAGTTGGAATGGCATATATGCCAAAGAACAAATAAACTTCTGCAAGTATTCACAGAACTTATATTGAGGTAATGAGGTCGAATGCTCGAACATCATATTCCATCAAATAAACTACTAAATCAGCGACAATTAATATGGATCCGAGGGAGTAGAATATAAGACATAAATTAATTAGAATGTTGTTGCGTGGATGTATTTGCGACACATACATATTAGACATCAGAAGAATAACCTTCACGTGAATCATTTAGGTATGATATGGAGGTTTTCAACTTCAGTCGATTGTACTATGATAGACTTTGGGCAATACTACTTCCAGTTAATTATGAGATCATTTACTTTCCTAATAATTAATAGTACTACTCTAGAAGGTAAGAAGTACAGCTACATGCATATTTCCCAAATGCAGCATGATCTAGGATAACATTATATTGTGCCAACAGAACAAATGCCAGTAAAATTTTAAGGAAGCAAAAGCAAATGAATCAACGATTTACATTTATCAGTTCCTAAAAAAACATTTTGCTATAGAATAAGGCGAAAAGCTAATGTTACCTTTGTCCACAATCTATGTTGGTAAATCAGAAGAGATCTTAAAAGTGCCGCGCTGCCAACACATGACTTTTGCTCTTTCCAACAGCTTTGAGGAGAGAGGCATTCTGTCTGTTTCTAGTGTTCGATCCATAAGCAAGACTCGAGGAGAACTACTGGCTAACAGAATAGAGAGAGGCAGTTTCAGTGGCAAGTCTATGGCAAAATTAATTGAATTAAAAGGAGACTAAAGTTAATTTTACATTTTATGGGAACTAAAGTTAATATATTTGAAAACAATAAGTTCCTGTTATAAACTTTTTGTTGGACGAACTGGAAATGATTTCAATTTCAGTTCATGGCATGCAATGGAATAGACCATACACCTGTACCACAGATTGGCATCTCAAGCATTAGAAGTGCTATCCAGGGGTATCAAGATTATTGTCAAAGCAGAAGACAGCAAAAAAAAGGATAGATTTGTCAGGAATACCCCCTACCACTTTTTAACATCGCAGTATAATATTCTCGTCCCACCATGCTTACACTTTTTTTGACGGAACACCATGCTTACACTAATTAATAAACCTCCTAGTTACTCATCTTACTTACAGCTAAACAATACACTCTACAATACATAATCGTATTTACCATTTAGACATAATACAAGGCAGGGGGTGGGGGAGAGGGGGGGAGACTCACCCAAACACAAAGCTTAAATGTTTGAAGGGAAAAAGTGTACATAAAGAGGGTGGGAAAGTTTATAGCTGAAAACAAAGAACATAATGCATCAGTCTGGGAGATAAGTCAAAAGGCAACCCCCTTTTCGGTAGGGGCACCTATTTGTTAGGCTCTAGGTATAGGGAATAAGTGAGTGCGATTACATCAGATTTTATTCACCTACGTGGAATGGTAGCGAGCACTTCTTCTATTGGTGTAGGCCCGGAGGGTGGATAGCCCTAAATATTACAAGTGACGGCAATCCATATCATTGTTTGCAGTTTAAAGATACCATGGCGTACAGAAGTAATAGTTTCGGTCGTCACGACTGGCTCAGCATCTAGGACTGAGAGTATATATAGAGCACAGGCCTGCACCGCTCACTTCACCCAAGTGCACACTTCGAGGCCAAGTAGCTCCTCTTGAGCAATAGTACTCAATCTCCTCGACACCACCAATTGTAGGTAACCATGTCAAGGGATCCACTTGTTGTAGGCAATGTAGTTGGAGATATCTTGGACCCATTTATCAAATCAGCATCACTCAAAGTCTTATACAACAATAGGGAGCTGACTAATGGATCTGAGCTCAAGCCTTCACAAGTAGTCAATGAGCCACGGATCGAGATTGCTGGGCGTGACATGAGAAACCTTTACACTTTGGTGAGTTCATAACTCCTGTCTACCTCATTTGACCATTGAATATGATTGGAAATTAAGCTTTCTGCATTTAACGTTTAACCAAACAAAACAGTGATTACTGCAACTGAAGTGGCTATCAGGTCAAGATTATTATTTTTAGAGTGTGTCAGGTCACCATTTTCTCTCTCTAAAGTATCACGCTGTAATAACATTTAAAAGCTGTAAGAGTACACCCATTAAACTGGAAGGCAAGAATCTTCACTCTTAAGATTTAAAAGCTGTCCTTGTTGCGTGAGAAAGACCTTTTGCAGTTCTATATTTTATTAAAAAGACATGTTTTCGCTGGTGTCAGCACATATACCAGCACCTTTGCATGCAGACACACAATAAAATCGAAGTTATACACATTGGTCTAGACTCGCAATAGGAACATGGAACCACAATGGTTACTTCCAGCAATGCATGTTATATGTAGTGAAGATCCATGTACTTTGCTGGCCAACTTAAGATGGTGCAGAAATAGCACTGAGAAACTAAAATTTGATTACATTCATTACACTTCATTTCGTTTAAGAAGAGCATTAAACAATTGGACAGCTCAGATCCTAACCATCAAATTATACAAGCACAGTAATTTAGAAGAACAATGAAATTGCCATCACAGAAGACAAGCAATAAATCAATCATGGCAAACATTTCAAAGACATATGCATACACAATTCAACATCATTTTTACTTGATTGAATTATTTATATAATGAGAGCTCCAGTTTATATGCTTGTAACACGAATGATGACAAACTTACCAATAGGTAATGGTGGATCCTGACTCACCAAGTCCAAGCAATCCAACCAAAAGAGAATACCTTCATTGGTAAGACCTGAAACACTTACAATGAATGATTTTAAATATCAAATAATAAACTCTTTCTTACAGTTGTGCGCATGTCACACAGGTTAGTGACAGACATTCCGGAATCAACAGATGCAAGCTATGGTGGGTTGTTCCCTTCCTTTTGCGTATTTGTTTCCACGATTTAAATGTTTCGAAGTATTGAATGGACATTTATAATAAACCTACTTACGGCAGTCCGGATGATGTCCACACCTAGTTCGTATTGACATAGAACAAAATAAAATGAAAATATTACTCATCCATAGAGTAAAGATCGACAGTTCATCACTACTGAAATGGTGTGCAAAGTTAAACTATATTACTCACCATACAGTAGGAATCTAGCACAATAGGCAGCTTATATTTTTCTGACCTCCACAATTATTATTTGTAGAGATTTATTCAAATGACTGGCTTAAGTTTGTATAATCTGGCAGCCAGTCTGCAGTATATATCATTTGGGCAGATAAAGGTGAATTTGAACCTTGTAGCACCATTGAGATTCTACACTGAAACCAACAAAATGTTTGTAAGCTGAGGCACAATATTGCATAACTTGCTCTGAAAAGTTATAAAAACTGCATTTCAGGAAACGAGATAGTCAGCTACGAAAGCCCAAAGCCAACAGCAGGAATACATCGCTTTGTCTTTGTGATTTTCCGCCAATCTGTCCAGCAGACCATTTATGCACCAGGATGGAGACCAAATTTCAACTCAAGGGACTTCTCAGCACTTTACAGTCTAGGCCCACCTGTGGCTGCAGTATTCTTCAACTGCCAAAGGGAGACCGGATGCGGTGGCAGACGATACATCAGATGACAACTGGGATAACTGCATTCCAACACTGCAAAAATGAGGGTGAATTGAGTGATGATGCATAAGGCCAAGCGCTCCAGGTGGGCGTTGTGTATGGCGCAGCGTAATGTAGTTTAATTCCTAGATTACTTTATCTCATGTACAGGCACTGACTATGGTGTCCCAAAATACCATGTAACAAATCTCAGCCACTGCTCCATCTCTTCTTCCTTGATGAGGAAAGCTTAAAGTTGATGTATTAGGGCAATGAGAGTAAAGATCTCTCATGTTTCCTAAAAACTATTAGATTTGACGCCAATAAATGATAAATTGCAGATTGCCTGTGCAAGAAAGGCAGTGCAGTGAAAACTGTAAGGTCCCGCAGCCACAGTTTACTGGTGTCATAGTGCTAGGAGTCTTTTCATCACCTGACCTCCAATGATTAATCCAATGAGGATTTATGCTGATGACCTCACTGAGAATCAGAATTCAGAACCCTCTCCCCATCCACCAGTCATGCTCTCAGATTCCACCAACACCAGCAAAGCAAATCTGCGTAGAAGCAGGTCATTAAAGGTGTAAATCCAAATAACCCTGACATGTTAGTGCAGTCCTGGTCAGATTATGCTCCAGAACTGATCAAGAAAACCAAATTAGTGTGGTCACTTTTCCTGCCTGCCTTTGGTAGACAGGCTTAGCAACAGCAGGAAGGGAATCAGGTACCTCAATGACAACAGAGAATATGACCATCTGAACAGCTAAAGCCCGGCTTTGAATGAAGTGGTACACAAAATGCATCTGCTTTTGCCATGACATGGTAAGATAAAGGTGAGCTATCTGTTTCCAATTTTCAAGGTGCATCCATATTGTGGCTGCTTCTCTGTTATACCAGAACTGGCATCACACTTCTCACAGCATAGGCACACACTGCTTGTCAGAGCCGGTCAGTGGCAGTGCCGGTCTGGCGGAGCTACATCCCGGCAAGCCTGGGCAGCTACCCGGGCTCAGCTGGTGAACCCCACTGAAACGGTACAAGAGAGCAAGGACTCAACAAGGAGCTCGCACAGGAAAACACTGAAAAACGCAATTCCAACTATACATTGCCTAGGCTCTGATAACGGGCTGGCTCTGCCACTGGTCTAGGACCATAGATCCCGTCGCAGCACCTGTCGTGGGAGCTGACTCAACCTCACCGACAATGTGCTGATACCAACCCATGGCAGGTTCCATGATGGCGCCACCCACTGCTCCAGCATTTTGTCGAACACCATCCATTCACCTCTGCACCAGTGCTTAACAGCCTGCGAGAACAGGCTGCGCAGAAAGCGGCTATACCACATGAGGAGGCCAGGGCATATGGACCGTGCTGCAAGTCCTCCACACCTTCCTCTTTGGTGCCACAGTTGTCGCAGCATCCACGATGATGACACGCCATGCCATGGTGTGAACGGCCCTCACTCTTGCATTTCATTGAGCACCTTTCCTGGCTTAACAGTCTGCAAGGGCAGCGAGGTGCACAGAGAAATGGCTTACCCCAGATGAGGAGGTGATGAAGAACCTATCGCGTTTGCTGCATGTCAATCATGTCTTTGGTGCACACTCTTCTTGCCTTCATTATTGCATGCTTGTAGAACAACCTCCATGGCGGGCATGTCCTGTGACCAGCTAGAAATGTATTCGAACACAATGCACAAAAAACCTTAATAAAGGGACTGAAAGAAAACACGACCTAACCAGTTAATCGGTGCTTACGGAGTGAAACTGCAGAAGTGCTAGCTTTCATTTGTTCAGTCCTTATGATCAAAATTGCTAAGACAAAGCCTCTTTGATTCTCATCAAAAACATAGAAATAAGAAAATTAAGAATTGCAATGTCATGTAATCTTGAATCTCCGCAAGAAACCATGTCTGATCGCCCCATAGAAAAAGCATTGAAAGCATTCCTAGAAATTTAAGTAAATGATTTTTCCTTTGAAATTTAGTACAGAAACCCTGTAGAAAAATTTCCTATGGAATACAACAGTACAAAGCATAGCAGGTTATACATATAGGGATATAGCTACCTACAAGCATACAAATCGGCAAATCGCAGAAGGTAATACACGTGGCTAGCTACAACCATACAAATCGCAGCAGGTTATACGTGTACTGAATTTCTTAGAGCCTTGCAATGTAGAACATAGAGGAGATTCAAATAAGAAAATTTGTACTTGTTGACCATAAAGTAAACCGTAATTACATCGAGGAGAAGCAAATTCAATTAGCAGAAATTACAGGTTGCTTCCTCTTCTGGCAGCAAACAATAATATTAACCCTGAATTTGCTGTGGATTCCTCAATCTTGTCTCTTCATCCATCTACCCTATAAAAAGTGACACCACAGCAAAATTAGATATAGATGCATTCGGTCACAGATTATACGCGTGCTCTTACTGACTTATTGCATTAAGTATTCCAAAGTCAGGATTACTGAAATCTCTTTCTTATTTTCAGTAAGAAAAGTACCTGTTCTATGCAAATGTGCAATTGATGTCTGCTAAATTCACTGCGTCCTTATTCCGTCGCTTGGCTAGCAAAATGTTTACCTATTGTCCAAGGTAACATTGTGTTAAAGCCTTGTCTAGTTGACCCCTAACCATCCCGGCATGTCAATGTGAACGGGCCTACGGAAGGCAAACGGCTACTCTGGAATGTTTATCCGACGTTTTCCAACCCGGTGAAGAGGGCAGAACGGCGACCAGAGGAAATGCACCCAAGATGCCAGCCCCTGTTGTGACATTCTGACAGATTAGAGCCTTGGCTGAGCTAATCTCCTTTGCCACTGGCGAATTTGATCCTAGAAGTGACTGCGTGGAGGAAGTTGAGAGTATCTCCTTCGGAACGGAAATTGGAAGGCCGCTGCACGAGTGACATTTATCTGGCAACCGGTGTCTTCAGGTGCGGCAGTGGCACACTTCCTCTTGGTCTGCCTCTGTGCGTGCCTGCAATGGAGCTCGCACCCGTCGAACACCTTCCTGGGCTCCTCAAGCCCCTTGGCGATCCCCTCGGGAGACTTGTAGAGGAAGGTTGCGTACCCACAGAACTGCCCGGTTGCGTGGTCGGCGACGAGGGATCCTGCCTCGATCTCTCCGAACTCGGAGAAGAACCTCCTCAGCTCGTCGATCGAGGTGCGGGCGGGCACCCTGTCCACTAAGAGCTTGCGGCCCGTGCCTCCGGGGGAAGGGCCGGCGGGACCGACCGAGGCGAACTGGCAGGCAATGGGGCGGCCCCCGACGCGCTTGGAGGAGTCCGCGAGGGCGCGGCGGCGGGATGAGCATCGGCGGAGGATGATGAAGCCATAGCCGCGGCAGCGGCCGGTGGCGCGGTCAGCGACGGCGTGGCACCCATCGAGGACCCCAAAGGGGACGAAGGCGGCGGCTAGCGCGGCGGAGGTGCCGCTGGGGCTGAGGCCGTGGATGTAGAGGCGGCGATGCGCGGCGTCGGAGGCCGCCGAGGTGGCGAGGCGGGAGAGCAGGGTGGGATCTCGGAGGCGGACCTGGACCAGGACGTCAAGGAGCTCGTCCCTACTGAACGGCTCAGGAAGCCCCTCGATGATTTCCTCCTCCTTGCACTCATCGGCCGCCGGCTGTTGTGGGTTCGTCGCGGAGTTCGTTCTTCCCCTTGTCCTAGCTTTGTCACAACCCCTGCTACCTGGTTTCCAGCAAACACAACTTGAGGACAAGTGTGATCTCCACGGGGAGCATTGTCACAACCCCTGCTACCTGAACTTGTTGGCGCAGTGCCGGTTCTTCAGTCCATCAGTCAGCGCTTGGCTCAGTTATGTAGATCGGACGGTGGAGGGAGTTATCTTGGATCCAACGGCTGGCAGCCATCGTCTAGTTTTCGCTGCTTAAACTGTAGCTCTACAATTGTCGGGCATTCTGACAGTAACTCTGTAACTCTGCACTATATAAGTCCTCACCCAGCTCTCAGCTCAGCTATGAAATGAGATATCCAGTTATTTTTCCGCTTATCTGTACTTATTTTCGGAGCTAGGGTTCTTTTTAAAATTCCAAATCATAGCGGGTGCTCTAACATCAGGAGTAAAAGTTGTCGGATTACAGGTTCTGGCAAAATCTTTGAGGTTCAAACTCTGGGGTGTGCATGAAGATCTCACTCCCCCTAGCTCACGCTCTCGCAACGATCTCAAAGTCTAGCCCGCCAAACCCGAGGAACAAGAGACACAAGAGTTTATACTGGTTCGGGCCACCGTTACGGTGTAATACCCTACTCCAGTATGGTGTGGTGGATTGCCTTATAGGCTGAGAATGAACAAATACAAGGAAAGAACAGCCTCCTGAGAAGAAATATTCT